CACCGCAGTTTGGGAATCCCATCGCGGCGAAGCCATCTATGATGGCCTGCGCGTTTCCCAGGGTCACTACCTTTGAGAGCAGTACCTCAACGATTGCGTTGGCTACTTGCATCACAACAATCCCCACGGTAGATTTGCCCACGCCAAAGTGGTTTGCGACTGACCGGTAGCTGTCTGGCGTTGCAAGCTTCCAGAGAGCTATGGCTACTCGCTTCTGGACAGTCAGGGCTGCTCGCATCCGGGTGTCATTGCGCTTCAGGGCAGGGGACAGCAACTCACAAAGTTCCATGAAAGTCCCCTTCCGCATGCGAAAGTTTCGCAGCCACTGTGATTCATCCCAGACCTGCAGCACTATGCGGTCCCACCAGTCCGTGCTTGTTTCCCGGGCCCAGAATCGCCATTCCTCAACATCCACATGACCCATTGTCACCGTGATGTCCTCGGCGCGGGGTCCCGTGCTTTCTGACAGGCCTGTGCTACTTTCAGACTTCAGGCCCTCACCGCGGTGCCGTAGCCTCCTCGCCCGATTTATCTGCATCTGCCTCTGGGAAAGGTGGATGATAAGCTGCGAGGCATTGACAACGGACACAACTGCAGCGATGGTCGCAGCGGGCTCCATGCTCGCAGTGCTGTGGCGTCCGCGCTGTCACTGACCAGAAAAATGCGCGAACTGATTTCCCGCCGGCGCTTTCAGGGAGGGAGGGAGGGCGGTAGTGACGGACGGATGACGACAGTTACCCAAAAGCACCCTCGACACATTTTTTTACCCAGAAGGCATTGGCGGCTCGACCCAGAATTCCAATGGGCAGCGGGGACTGCGGGAACTGTGGGATAGCTGCCCACAGTGCACCGCTTCCAATGTCGACGCTTCCCCCGTTAGTGTGGACTCACAAAGTCGAATTACTGTCCTTAGTGTGGACACACACGTTCGACTTTGCAATATCGATTCCACATATTCGATTTAAGTGAAATCGAACTACTCTCGTAGTGTAGACATACCCTAGGCTTTGCAGGCTTGCTGGAGGACGGTGTTACAGGTATACAGGCATAGGAGAAAGTGCTTGTGTGTAAAGTGGACAAATAGTTTATAGGTTTCAGAGTAGCAGCCGTGTTAGTCTGTATCCATAAAAAGAACAGGAGTACTTGTGGCAACTTAGAGACTAACAAATTTATTTGAGCATCAGCATGAATTTCTTCAAAGTTTTTTCTCTTACTTAATTGGCCTCTCAGAGTTGGTAAGACAACTCCCACCTTTTCATGCTCTCTGTATGTGTATCTATATCTCCTCAATATATGTTCCATTCTATGCATCTGAAGAAGTGGGCTGTAACCTACGAAAGCTTATGATCAAATAAATTTGTTAGTCTCTAAGGTGCCACAAGTACTCCTGTTCTTTTTGCAAATAGGTTATAGAAGCTAGCATTGCTGGTGGAGCTGAATGGGCAGGAGGCAACACAATAAGAAATGAAATGGTATGCGGGGCAGGGTTAGCTGGTGAAGGACTTTAAAAATAAGGAACAAAAGCTTGTATTTGACCAAGTTGAGAAAAGAGAGAGGAGGGATTCAAGAGGGGAGTGACATGGTTAGGCAATGGGCGAGAAAGACAGTCACAGAAGCAGTGCTCTGAATGGATCTGAGGGGAACAAAGTGAATGTCAGGAAAGACAGAGAGGGGAGGAGGTTGCCATAAACAAGAGAAGAGGTGAAAAAGGCTTGGATGAAAGATTTAGTGGTATGGACAGTGAGAAATAGACATATCTTAGAGATATTATGGAGAAAGAAGTGCCAGGACTTGAATACAGTCTGTATCTATGCATCTCATAACAGGAGTCAAAGATGACCCCAGGTTACGAAGCTGAGTGACATGACGGATGATAGTGTTGTCAACAAGATGGAGAAAGTGGTGAGTAGAGAGGACTATTCTTCGGTGAATTGTATAGTACTAAGCACATTAAACTTAACAAATAATAATTATTAACCATAACAATCTGTTTATACAGCAGTTGTCTAAAAGCACAAAATAACTAACAGGCTAATCACATAGTTACAGTTCATGTCAACCTCAAAATGGAATAGTGTACATATAGTATAAGCATCACCAGATCAGAGAATAGCTGTCATATCTACTTCTTTGAATAGCAGAGTAAACAAATGTGTGAAATCCAAGTAATCTCATCTGTAAACTCTAGTAACTTTTGGGGTAGATTTCCTATCCCACCCCTAAATAAAAGAGGGGGGGGGAAAGATTTCATGGATAAAACACATTTAAAAATCCAGTGTTTGCTATGACGTAGGAAATCCAGGTCCAGAAACAACATTTTCCCAGGTTGGTTTGTTAGGCCAAACTGTTAGGCATCATGCTTTTATACCCTCACAAAGGCTGATGACAGTGCAGTGTTGATGGAACAATCTGGAAAAGAGGCTGGTTGTAGGGTGATAGCAGTTGTTGCAAAAATATGCAAGACAGTGGGAGGGAGGTCATGAGATAATACAGAGGGGCAGATCCATGTTAAAATTAAGGAGATGAAAGCCTTACACTTCCTACAGGTTTGGTTTACATTTTATTCATTGCCATTGGAACATGCCCTTTATAGTACATAGGACAAATGAGAGGTGCTGCTCAGATGCGTGAATCTTGGGCAAAATATACAAATCATAGAGGGTCTTGGGGTCTGGGTGGCTGGTGCCTTTTCTTTTTGGACCTCAGCACACAGCAGGTATGCACCTAAAATCTCCAAATCATCATACTTTGGGAAAGCATCCTCGGAAATCTTTAAAAAGCAATAGCATTTATGCCAAAGCAGCAGATTCTGCAGTTTTTCAAAGATAGCGTGATACTTTAATAGAAAAAAACAGGACAAATTATATTAGGATTAAGATCTTGAACACAAAATGAACAGAAATAGTATATTATTATTTATATTACAGTGACACTCAAAATGTGCCAGGCCATGGGCTTTCTAAACATGTAGGAAGAGACAGTCCCTGCCCCACAGGACCTGCATTCTAACGGTGGACCTGATGCAACAGCAATAGGTGGGGAAATAGGAGGATGGGCAGATGAGGGCAATGAAAATTCAGTCACAGAGTTATATAACAGTGATATAGCTTGCTACAAAATACGTTCCCTGATATGTACAAAACTGCCCCCAAACCACTAAAATCCCTTTCCAAGGCAAAGTACCCCTTTCCTTATCCCCATCATTTGCTCATGCTATCCAACCCTCTCCACCACTATCCAATCCTCTTCTCCTCCCTGCTCAACCACTGGCAAGTCATCCTTCCAACATTCCACACCTCTGCCAGACAATCCACCACAGTACAAGACTCCAGCAGAAGTCTCCTTTCCCTCCATATAAATTCTGACATCAGACACTTCTAGGGCTGTGAAGGCTGCTCCTATTCTCCACCCCCAAACATTTGCCAAACTGGAATAAACAGCTGGCAATGTCTCTCAGACCACAGGAAAAGGCAAGGGGGAGGACACCTGCCCCAAGTGGTGCCAAGAGATTTACTTGATCCCGCTGCTGTCTAATCCGCGTTAGAGAAGTTGTTGCATGTTTCCAGGGTCAAAACAGCTAAATGTCTGGGGTTCAGAAGCTGTAAAGCTCTAGGTTGTGTTGCTCCCCGACTTTGCCCCACTAGTACAACAGCTCTGGCTATTGCTGGTACAATTGCTGGCTCCAAGTGGGCTAGTCCCACTCCTGAAAATGTTTTGAATATGTTAACTGTTTTGTGCATGCTGTTATAGCAAAAGCTCACCTTTTCCTCCTGCTATAAACAGCTGGATACATATAGCTGTGGGAAGCAATTTTAATATTTAAAAAAGGCAACAGATAATACTAATGTATTAAAAGTGTTACGATCATCACTTGTGTAATAAATCCAAGTAAACTGGGCTCAGATTTTTAAGTAGTGCCAAGTTGTGGTAATGAGTTGAGGATGAGTTAAACTCATGAAAAGCCTCTAGCTGGTGTGTAAAAAGAAGTCTGGTTAGTTAGACAATGATAAGATTCAATTGTTCAGTCTTTGAGTTAAAATGCTACGATGATAACAAAATAATCCTATTGTATTTCATTTTACAAAACAAATGTGGAGTAATTTTGCTAAACAAAGGGCAACATACAAAATGGATTGATTATTTGTAACAACCAGATCCTGTTTGCAATGATACTAAATTCAAAAGATTCGATTGTCTTCCATAACAGTCTGGGATCTAAAGTGATATACCATCTAAACCAAAGCTACAGCCACAGAAAAAGGTGCATCCTGCTTCCTAAAGGAAATCCTTCTGCTTTGTCAGTGTACTGGGAGGAGGAAATTTTTCAAGAGGGACATTTGTCATGCAGGGGTACTATGTTATCCTATGAGCAATTTGACCCTTAAGACACAACTGGGAGTTTTTGGTTTTATTACGTTAGTTGGTGTGAAGGAGAAAGGTCATAGCCTTTTCTTTCTTTATTCAGACTTTGGACCTTTTAACTGAGGATTTCAAAACCCTTTACACATAATTTAGCATCGCATCATCTCTGGGAAGTAGGTCAAATACTAAAATATTAATTTTTCAAGAGGAATCATCATAAGGATAAGTGACTTTCCCAAGGCTACATAGTGAGTCAATGGATTGGTGCCCTTTTGCTGGAGTGTTTCAGGCTTTCAAGTTAATAGAAACACACACAAGTTAAAATATTCCCATAACTGATCATTATTTCTCTGATGATGTGCACTTCATTTAATTATTTAAGTGTTTGGTCTAAAGTAATCAGAATTAAACACAATATGATTGGGAAACAAACAAAACTGCTGCAAGATTGAACCAGGGCTAATAGTAATTGCATACACACTGACCTATTGACTAGACCATATGGACAGCTGGTAAAGCTTAATGAAAGCAGAAGCTTCTCTTTTCAGGAGGAGGAAAAGAAAAAAAAATGGATCAACCATTTCTTCCTTACTAAGCAGATGGAGCAAATGATAAATGCTGAAAATTCAGAAACCTACTGGTATTGCAACTAGTGATGAGCAAACCTCAAGAGATCTTCGAAATTCAGTTCGGATTAGCTGGTCTGAATGATTATTCAAAACATATCCTAAATCTTGGTTCTTCCTTCCTTCTCTGCCGTCTTCCCCTTTGATTGCTCTTTGAGCCATTGTCTCACAGGTCTTTTGTCTGACCTTTAGCAGGCATACTGGCCTCTCTAACATCCTTTCCCGGACCTTCACCAAATATCCTCTACCCTACCCCTTATCCCTTTTCTGTCATTCCCAAATGGCTCTCTACCTATGAAAGGGTCTCTCAGTTCTTGCGTCATCTTTTCAGGGCTTTGCATGGCTGCTGATTTCAAAACTAGCTTACTGTAGATCAGAGATATCCTAGAATATATAACCCTATATAACATTTCTAGGCCTTAAGAGATTCTAACAAATTTCAGCTGAAATAGGAAGCTTCTTAAGAAGTCTGAAAAGGAAAGAAAGTCATCACGCATTCTTTTAAAACTTTAAAATAAGTTTGAATTTGATTTTGGACTGACGTTCAAACTTTTTATTCCCCCAATAAATGGTATGGTCCCTATTTCTTCCCCCATCATCACTGTTCCCAGGAAAGGTTTCCCTACATCAAAGATTGCTAATGAAAGTAACTATAAATCCTAAAAACACCTACCTCACTTATTTTGTAATACTAAGGAAATGTTTAAACTCTTAATTAGCTGGGCAAGAACCTAGTAATATCTAGAAGGTTAATCAAAGCAATGCTTTGTGTCAGCACGTGTGAACTATTCAGAATTTTGATCCAAATTTTCTTCACAAAATAAACTTACTGCGAAATTCTCTAATGAACTGTAAAAATGACCTATCACCTTAAAGGAATGGAGACTAAACAGGAATTTGTTGATTATCTGCCATCAAGTAGCTGGCAGAGTGGTAAACTCATGCTTTCATCTGTTGGAAAGGGAACCTTTGCTCCTAAGAATACTGGCTCAAATCTACTTGCTGCTGATCAACTTTTGTTCCTGTGAGTTGGGTAGAGAGTTTCAAAATCACAGCTATGCTGGCATTCACTTCTGAACTGAAGTAAAAAAACCCTCCTCCATAAGGTTCCCATTGGTCTTTTTTAAAAAGCAGAAACATCTGTTACAGTCATGAGCAAACTCTTGGCCAAGTTCGGCAACAACAGTGAGAGAGACTTTGAAGTCAATCAGCTCTGCTATCACCAGCAGATATCCCTATAGTCTATGGAAATTACTGCATAGAGAGTTTGGGAGATATGGAGAAAACTTGCACTGCCAAAAGTGTATATAAAGAACAGCCAGAAAAAATTTTTACTTAGTGAAAATGTGTTGTGTTGAGAGTTTATTATAATTGGTGTTCACACAAAACATATAGAATACTGCATAAAAATAAATATGTCTAGACATTCAGAGATAGATTTTGATATTAGGCCCTGAACAAGGGGTAGTGGATGAGCCACACCACTTCAGAAGTAACACTTTGAGTCACAATCTACCTCTTGCTTTCTTCATATTCCAGAGGGTGGCCATTTGCTGCTGGTCTATATCAGCAACAAATTATAACACCCTCTGCACCAGCACAGCAGCCCAGGTTCCACCCATTTTTCATCCATTCACATGAACCAGGTCTAGAGAGGGAGTAAGCAGACACACAGCACCTGCTTACTCCTACATACCTGGATCCAACGTATAGCTAGCCCATATAGATTAATGGAGTAGGAACCCCCATTATATCTCATCTGTGTGGGCATGTAGTCACATTTACAGCACATGTCTTCCTTTCGGTCCAACTAATTCTGTTACCAAATAAACCTTCCTCCAATCTTTTGTTCTTTTTTAAAATTGCTATTTAAAAAAAAAAATCCCTATCCCTTCTCTCGTGTGTTCCACACTGACTGAAAAGTCGTTTTGGCATTTAACCTGCAGCACTTCCTGATAACAAATGCAGGCACAGCTCAGTTTAGAAGGGCAAAACCATCACCTCAATGTCTGCAAATGAGCTGCTCTGTGCCATCTGCGAAGGGCTGTTCTGTTCTGAACAGAATTGCTAATGCTTAAATGAGGTCCTAGACATCTAATGGGCTTTAACGCTCACGCACATTTAGGCTATACTTTCACTGCAAAAGTAAGTGTGGTTTTTTTCACTGAGATAGCTAACTCGATATATCTATCTCAACATACAAACCTAGTGGAGATCAGGAACTGTAGTTAGTCAAGTTCGATGCTACACCCCCGATCTGGGGTTGTCCTTAACTGTCTACATGGAGATAAAAACTACAGTAGCTTGTCTCCACTACAATTGTACATCAAGGCAGTTCTCTCAAATTAGCTATCTCTGTATAACAACACATTTGTTTTTTGCAGTAAGGACAAAGCAAAGCAAATAAACAGACTAAAGCTTTGCCCTCACTGCAAAAAATAAGTGTGTTTTTACACTGAGATAGCTAACTTAACTCACAAAACTATAAGGGGGGAAAAACAGTTTCAAAAAGTCTAGTGTGTCATGAACTGTCCAGGGAAAAGCTCAACCATGTTCTTGCTCCTGAGTGAATGAGCTCTATTTAACCCTCCTCTATCTCAAGTAAAAATAGGCCTAGTACATATACAGTGAATATCAGCTGCCTGACTGTATCTTCTATCTACATGTGAATATTTCCTTCAAGTAGTCCTGAAAGTGTGTGTTTTATACCATTTTGTTGTGTTTTTGGAATGCAGTCTGGAATGCTGGCAACAACAGTTTGCATGATTCTATATGTCCCCATCAAAATAAGATGTTTTAGTCTCAAACTTCCCAATTAAAAAAAGTGTTTTGTTCTATAGGTGGCAAGAACATGCTAAAGTTTATCATTACCAAACACCTTACTTCTATTTTAGACAGCTGCCTTGTGTCAATCTTAATAGAAGCTGAAATGGTTATCAAAATAGCAGGTTTTCAGTAAGAAGCTCAACAAATTTCTTCTCTCTCGCCGTCTATATGCATACACATTCACACACACACACACACATATATATACACATATATAATATGTTTACAATTCATGATTGATCTCTTGGCAATTCACCTGGTTTCTTTTTATCTTTCACAAAAAAGAGAGCCCTCAGGAGCACACAGCTGTCAGAAATAAGTTCAGATCCTGCAGATGTTAGTTGCTTCCTTCCTGCTGCGCAGCATACTGTTCAGAAATATTACCTTACTGATGTAACATGCACAAAAAAGGAGACATCATTACATTGGACTTACCTTCAAGCTCAAGAAAAGTGTTACATGGGAGACAAATGGTAAAACTTCTCCACCAGCTTGCATCCATCAGCTAAGCTTTTAGAACTGGAACACATAACAAACATATGGCAGCCATAAAGGCAACATCAACGTGCACAACTATGAAAAAAATAAGAAACCAAAATAATAATCTTTTTCACCTACAGCATGGTAGGATGTACCATGAACAAAGCATGAAGATATCAAAACCAGAAGGAAGATGAAGTGGCCAGTTAGTGAAAGCATCTGGCAAAAGTGATAGTAACTGTTCTCTGAAGATCAACTAACGCAAACGTATAGCCACCACTGAAGACATTAACAATGGTACATTGTTAGCAGTGAAGAAAGCAGGTAACGTGAGGTAGCTGACAGTATCACTGTTAGAGACTCATGGCATCGCAGTCAACAACACAGTTGTTTCATTTGGAAAGAGTGATGGTGATTGCTGATTAAGCTGAATAAGGTTAAACTTTATTAAACCTTGTGCACTGCTCTGTCCATGTTGCTGAGTTGCTTCCAGCCTAAATCCCCGCATCTCTGTCCCATTGGTAATCTGTCAATAAAAGTCCCTGGGCCCTCTGACTCCAGTTCCACTGATCATGATACATCTTCCCTATTTTAAAAACATTTTAATATAAACATTAAAAACAGATAATTAATGCCCAGATGCTTACCCCGGGTCCCTTTGGTTCAAGGTTGCTACCAAGTTGGAGTCTCATCTTTATTACAGATTCAGCTGGTTATGTAGTCTTTGAGATAGTTTGGTCTCCTCAACAGGTGACCACACCTGGAGTGACCTCTCTGTCTCTCCTTGGCACCTGTTGCAGAATCTAGCAAACTCTCTTTGTGTCAGTTTTTTCCCTTTTTGTGCAGTTGGCCTCTTCTCTGCCTCTCCACACTGTGATGATCTCTGTAGGTTCTCTTTGGATATTGTGTCTGCTGGCTCCTAAGTATCTCCTATTCTTTGGATCACTTGCACTCTTGTGTAGTCACCAGTATGAACATGGAGTGAACTTGAAATTGTATTTAGCTAATAGAACTTGGTAACTAGCTATACAAAATTAGAGACCTGCCAAGGAGAAGACCTTTCTACCTACGAGGCCAAGTGTCTTTGGGCCCTTTTCGGCCGGGGTAGATTTTTGGTAGTGTGACAAGTTCTTTCTGTAGTTGCTTGTATCACCAATGACTTAGGGGCAGGGGGGCAGGGTGGAAAAATAGGAAGTCAGCTCCTTTGGCAGGAACAAAGTAACACTTCTTGTGTCTTTTTGGTGTAGTGGCACAAGATGCTGGTGTATGCCAAATTCCTCTAGCCAATTCCAATATAGCCTCATTAATCGAAAGGGCTATTCTGGTCAGTCTTTGTGGCTGTAAAATATCCAAGAGCAGGGCTGAGGGTCCTGAACCTCTTCCAGTGGAATTTGTAGATTGTTAGCGACCCTTTGCAACAGCTTCTGATACTGGCAGTGATCATCTGATGGAGAAGACGATGACAGAGTAATGGTGTCATCTAGACATGATAAGGAAGCACCTGTCAGTACTGTCAGAACTGGCTCCAGGTCTTCCTCCTCATACACAGATGGAACCGGCTGATGAGAAGGGGAAGAGCAGTTTGACTCCTGTGAAGGGATCCAAGGGCCCCAATAGGGCCAGAAGGAAGGTGCCTTTCCCCCTCCCTCCCCCCATCCCCCCCGGCAAGGGAATCAGTACCAGATCTCCCTGAGGGTGGGGAGTTCATATCCAAAGGAATGGTAAACACTGTTGAGGCTCCTGTGCCTTCTCAGAGATATTGGTGCAGCTATCTCCTCTGACTCCTCCGATTACAAGGAAGGTTCTGTTGGTAGTAGTGGTACCCTCGGTACCAGGGCATTCCTGTCTGTTGGGTG